AACAGTAAAAGACTCTACCAGAGGCTCAGAAATGATCTCCCCAGGTCTGAAGCCCACAGCATGCTGAAGGGTTTCTGCAGCTCAGAGACATCCACTGCGACGCAGGGTAGACCCTGCTGCTGGGAACATCTTAGCACAGCTCTGTTACATCTTCTCCATTGAACCACTAACAGAAAGGAATTGCTGCTCCTAAGAAAGTGACTCATGGGCACTGACCCCTCTCCTGGCTAGGAAGAAAAATAGCAGAGAACACAATCTGGTCATGTCATTGAAAAGATAAAACCGAGATGCAGAAAGTCATTGTCCTAATGATCACTTTTTATTCCCCTTCGAGCATTAAACCCCAAAGAGAAAGGGATGGGAGACTTAATCATCGACTTGATCACAGCCCCTGAATTCTCCTTCCACAGGGGTATAGGAGCTTTCTCTTACTCCTCCCTTCTTCCTCGACTGCCTGGAATGAAAAATTCACTGCTATGTGGGGATCCTGGGCTTGTTTTTCAAACTCTCTGAGAATTGCTGCTGAGTCCTTTATGAGGAAAGCCCAGCGGTGTCCTCTGTCCACATTCTTTGCCCAAAGGAGATGAGAACTTCAGTTTTCTCAGGGAGAGCCTAGGCTCAACACAGAATCCTAGACTTAGAACTTATCATCAAGTTCATTTCCTTCCCTGGGAAACAACATAAAGTTACAAAATTTTAAAATTAGCCAACTAGAGGTTAAAAAGCAAAAATCAAACATCTATTATCAATATCGTTTCACATGAAAGATATTTCAATGACAACAAAATAGAAAGGACACAATCGCAGACTAATTATAGTTCTTTAGCTTGAATATATGTAGTTTCAAGGAAAAGCCACACTTTCATTCTTCTATTTTTTTGTTGTTGCCAACCACAGGAATGTGTCATGACCTGCTGCAACCTTTGGGTGGCAATTTGGGAACCTTCCATTCAGTACAAACCCCTCTGATGATTAAAATCTTTGACATCATTCCTACCCTAGAGTTACCGAGTTCTGTAAGAAATATTTACCTCCCTCTCCCAATAATAGAATCAACCGTTTATTCCTATGTATTTTCCTATTGTGGGGGAGAGCTTTTATTATGCAACTGATAGCATTGCATTTCAAAGGTCTGTCTTTTTTAGAAAGTCTTAGGAAAAACTGGGTGACTTCCTAAGTTTCCTAAGCTAATATTTTTTATTTTGAGAACGTCAAGGAGATGCCACCCAAACACTAGCAAGACAGGCTAATGCGGAGAATGACAGCTCATTGGGAACAGAGCTGCTGGTGCCAGCAACTGTTAGGGACACTTAAATGGTAACTGACCAATTGCTGGATGCTGAGTGTGGAATAGTTGAGAGTTTAAAACTCCTGGGGGCCAAGACTTGGGGGTGAGTCCCCACACTTCTGTGAGTTTTATCTGCAGGTGCTTGAGCAGGTTCTTATGATGGAGATCAGAAAAACCCCCAAAGGACTGACACTAGCAACTTCCAGACCTGCTAGAAAGCTACAGTTATCCAAACAGTGTGGAACTGGTGAAAACACAGAGAATAGGTCAATGGAACAAAATCAGAAATAGATCTACATAAATGCAGTCAATTAATGTTTGCAAAGGAGCAAAAGCAATTCAATGGTGAAAGAATAATGATAGTCTCTTCCACAAATGATGCTGGAGCAACTGGACACCTACATTGAAAAAAAAAGAATCCAGACAGAGACCTTCTTCCTTTCACAAGGTGGATTATAGTCCTAAACGTAAGGTGTAAAAACCACAAAAATTATAGAAGATAACATGGAAGGATATCTAGGTGACTTTGGGTTTGGTGATGACTTTTTTGATATAATACTAAAAGCACAATCCATTAAAGAAAAAATTGATAAGTTGGACTTCATTAAAATTAAAAACTTCTGCTCTGTGAAAGACACTGTTAAGCTAATTAAAGGCAAGCCACAGACTGGGAGAAAATCTTTGCAAAACACATATCTGATGAAGGACTGGTATCCTAAATATACAAAGAACTCTTAAAACTCAACAATGAGACAGCTAACTTCCCAATTAAAAAATAGACAAAAGATCTAAAAAGGCACTTCACCAAAAAAAGAAATACAGATGGCAAAGAAACCTCTGAAAGATGCATAAAATCATTTGTCATTAGGGAACTGCAAATTAAAACGACAGTGAGATATCTCTCTATACCCATTAGAATGACTAAATTCAAAGCACTGATAACACCAAATGTCGGCAAGGATATGGATCAATAGGACTCTCATTCTTTAGTGATGGGAACACAAAAATGGCACAGCCACTTTAGAAGACAGTTTGGCAGTTTCTTACAAAACTAAACATACTCTTACATTTGATCCAACAATCACAGTCCTTGGTATTTCCCAAATGAGATGAAAAGTTATGTTCATACAAAAATCTGCAGATGAGTGGGGCTGGCCCCGTGGGCCGAGTGGTTAAGTTCGCACGCTCCACTGCAGTGTTGTCGTGTTCGAATCCTGGGCGCGGACATGGCACCGCTCATCAGGCACACTGAGGCAGCGTCCCACATGCCACAACTAGAAGGCCCTCAACGAAGAATATACAACTATGTACTGGGAGGCTTTGGGAGAAAAGGGAAAAAAATAAAATCTTAAAAAAAAATCTGCAGATGAGTGCTTATAGCAGCTTTCTTCATAATTATCAAAAAGTGGAAGGGACCGAGATGTCCTTCCTTAGGTGACTGGATAAACAAGCTGAGTACATCTGTACAATGGAATGGTGTTCAGCAATAAAAAGAAAGAGCCATCAACCGTAAGTGACGTGGAGGAACCTTAAACACATAGTGTTGAGTGAACAAAGCCAGTCTGAAAAGTCTACACACTGTATGATGCCAACTATAGGACATTCCGAAAGGCAAAATCACAGAGACAGTGAAAGGTCTGTGGTTGCCTGGGTTTGTGAGGAGGAGAGGAGGGTGGACAAGGAACCTGGTGAGCATGAGACTATTCTGCATGACACTGTGCTGGGGATTCGTGACACGATGCACTGTCAAACCCATAGAACTGTGGACACAAAGAATGAACTCTAATGTAAACATGGCTTTAGTTAATAATAAAGTATCAATTTGTTCATCAATTGTACAAGTGTACCACATAATGCAAGATGCCATCATAGTGGAAATTGTGTGAGGAGAACAGGGGCTATGTGAGAACTCTATACTATCTGCTCAATTTATCTTCAACCAAAACTGTTCTAAAAGTAACGTCTATATAGCAAAGCTGCAGGGTAAAGAGCAACAGACAAAAATCAGTTGTGTTTCTATACACTAACAATGAAATAGCAGAAAGAAATTAAGAATACAATCCCATTTACAATTGCAACAAAAAGAATAAAATAGCTAGGAATAAATTTAACCAAAAGGGTGAAAGACCTAGACAGTGAAAACTATAATACATTGTTCAAAGAAATCAAAGAAGACATAAAGAAATGCAAAGAAATTCCATGCTCATGGATTGGAAGAATTAACATAGTTATAATATCCATACTTCCTGAAGCAATCCACAGATTCAATGCAATCCCTATCAAAGTCCCAATGACACTTTTTACAGAAATAGAACAAAGAATACCAAAATTTATAGAGAACAATGTAAAACCCTGAATAGCCAAAAGAATCTTGAGAAAAAAAATGATGCTGAAGGTGTCCCATGCCCCGCTTTCAAAATATACTACAAAGATATAGTAATCAAAACAGCGTGATTCTGACACAAAAGCAGCACACAGATCAATGGGACAGAACTGAGATCCCAGAAATAAACCTGCACATCTATGGACAGCTACTTTTCAATAAGAGAGCCAACAAAATACAATGGAGAAAGGAAAGTCTCTTCAAGGAATGGTGTTGGGAGAACTGAACAGCCACATGCAAAAGAATGAAAGCAGACCATTATCTTACACCATGCACAAAAATTAACACAAAATGGATTAAAGGCTTGAATGTAAGACCTGAAGCCATAAACCTTCTAGAAGAAAACCTAGGCAGTACACTCTTTGACGTCAAACTTAGCAGTATCTTTTTGAATAGCGTGTCTGACCAAGCAAGGGAAACAAAAGAAAAAATGAACAAATGGGACCAAACTAAAAAACTTCTGCACAGCAAAGGAAACCATCAACAAAACAAACAGACAAACCACTAACTGGGAGAGGATATTTGCAAATCCTAGATCTGATATGAGGTTACTATCCAAACTATATAAAGAACACATACAGCTCAAACACAGAAAAACAAACAATGTAATTAAAAAGTGGGCAAAGGATCTGAACAGACATTTTTCTAAAGAAGAAACACAGACAGTCAAAAGGACTTGACAAGATGTTCAACATTGCTAATTATTAAGGAAATGCAAATCAAAACTGCAATGAGATACCACCTCACACTCGTCAGAATGGCTGTAATTAACGACAAGAAATAACAAGTATTAGAGAGGACGTGGAACAAAGGGAACCCTCATGCACTGCTGGTGGGAATGTAAACTGGTGTAGCCACCATGAAAAAGCATGGAGGTTCCTAAAACAATTAAGAATAGAACTACCATATGATCCAGCCACTCCATTTCTTGGTATTTATCCAAAGAACATGAAAACACAAATGCAAAAGGATATTTATACCCCTATGTTCATTGCAGCATTATTCACAATAGCCAAGACGTGGAAACAACCTAAGCGCCCATCAATGGATGAATGGGTAAAGATGTGGTATATATATACACAATGGAATACTACTCAGCTGTAAAAAATGATGCAATCTTGTCATTTGTGATAACATGGACGGAACCTGAGGGTATTATACTAAGCGAAATAAGTCAGACAGAGAAAGTCAAATACTGTATGATTACCAGAGGGGAGGAGGGAGAAAGGAGTAATAGGCCACATGTGTAGGGTGAAAGATGGTAGTTAGTCTTTGGGTGGTGAATATGATGTAGTGTACACTGAAATCGAAATATAATGATGTGACTAAAGAAATCTTTTTAGTCGTTTAGAACCCCAAAAGTCTCTTCTCCTTTTTGTTATCTTACTTGTGGTGACGTTGCCTTGTTTGTAGAGGTGAGGCCAGTTGTCTTGTGCAGTGGTCTAGATTCTGCACTTGTCTCAGGACTACCTCATGACTGAATTCAGGCTAAACGTTGTCACCATAGCACTGCATAGTTAGTGCTGTCTGTTCCTCGCACAGCCCAGCTGGTGGCACAGAACGCCGGTCTGTCATGTTGTCTTTTGCCAGTTGCTCCTGATTCTGCTGATGTGCAGGACGGGAACTGAGAGCAGCAAGGGTTAAGGTCTCTCATAACCGTGTGTGGGTCTAGGCGGTGGTCTCCTCAGTGACTTAGCGCAGTTGGAGGCCGAAGGGCTGGGATTTTTCCCATCAAAGCAGGCTTTGCAGTAAAAACCTTGGAGAGTGCTTTGTGGTTGTGATGTTGATCTTCAGCATAGGA